AAAATAAGTGAACCCGTAACCCCTTCATTTATTAGCTCTAAATATCATATGTATCCCCTGTATGTTGCGCAATTTGTTAATTATACGCCTGGTATAATATGTATTTTCACTAAGCCCTTTCACAAATACTGATCATTTCCTTTTCTCCTTGACAAACAAAAGGAGGTAGCACCTCTTGATCGAATAGTAACCTGACAGCTTCTAGTGTCAGGTTACACACACACACACACACACACACACACACACACACACACACACACACACACACACACACACACACACACACATGTATGTATATACAGCATATATGTATATATCATCTCTCTATCTATCTATCTCTGTCTCTCTCCCTCTTTCCCTTTCCTCTCTCTCTCTCTCTCTCTCTCTCTCTCTCTCTCTCTTTCTCTCTATCTCATAACTCTCTCTCAATCTCTCTCTCTCTCTCTCTCTCTCTCTCTCTCTCTCTCTCTATATATATATATATATATATATATATATATATATATATATATATATATATATATTATTATTAATTATATAACGCTAGTATTTTCCCCATATCATAGTGCCAGAAAACCTGATTTCCCTGGGGTTGCATATAGGCCTAATAGATCTGCGCTCCGACGTTATTTCGTTCGGCAACCTTTGAGGCGGTGTAACCCACAATTACGTCCGTTAACTAATGTAGGACTAGGGCTTATTAATCACACCCTGCTCACACCCTAGACGTCGTTGTCATATTTGGGTCAGGCCCACCGATTTTGTGATTCGTGATAAATACCTGTAGGGCATGTCACGAGCGCCATCATAGATCCGCAGATAGAGTGGGTTATTTATAAATTTTCCCAGCTCGTTTTCGCTTCGTAAAGTACGGTATTTTGGGTACAGACCCCCGTCAATGAAGTCTGCATGTGCAGCTAGACATTTTCTACCTCGGCAGATTTGTTCCCTGAGAAGATTCACTTGCGAGAGGCTTGCGAATATTTTTTTCACGTCACCATTCATTAGTGTCATTCTGTCGCATATCATTAAATGTTAAATTCAATGTGGTAGTTGAAATAATTTTTATATTACGTCTATAACTAATTTATCGCATTTTTGTTAAAATTAACGTTATATATATTCTATCCGCTCTGTGTGAGGTTACTTTCACTCTCATTGATATCTCCCTGTCACTCACACGCACACACACCCACTCACTCACCCACACAGAACAAAAGACACTGAAACCTTTCATTAATAGTGTTTCTTGCTGTCGTATTTGCAGGTCTATGACATATCCCTTTGCCCGCGATTTTGTCAGTCGTGACTTCTTATTTTTACATACATTTCTTTTCTGTGTTAAGACAATTGGTTCAAGTAAATCCTTGCGGATTAACATTTGTCGTTTCCCTTACTTTATTCTCGTATCTATCAGAGATGGTTTGGTAGTTCAAGCTACTACCATCTTCCTCTTCTATTTTCTTCTTTAACTTTGTGAACGGAAAACACAAAATGAAAAAAAGACGAAAAATAACGAAAATTCGACCATAAAAACTGCAAATTTATATAAATAATCGGCTAGTTGCGCTTAACACCTCCTCTTCTCTGTTGTCTTTCTTTTCTCTTACTATCTTGGCCATTATGTATATAATCTGGTTCACGGTATCTAACATGGCACCGAAAGAGGAACCTGCCGCAGAAACGCTCACCTTCGGATGCGATGGAAAAACGTCACTGAAAGATCGCTAGAAGCCTGGAGACCAGGATGTTCGTCAGAGCAGGTATCAAGCTGCCCCAGGATGTGTAAGGGCGCCGCCTGGCAGGACGCCCGTAGATCCAGCGAAGAACCAGGAACTCGCCAGCGCAGGCACCAGTCGCCCCATGATGCTGAGACGGGCGCCGCCTGCCTGGACGCCGCAGATCCAGTCAAACTCCAGGAGCTCGTCAGCGCAGGTATCAGCCGCCCTGAGATGCCGAAGAGGACGCTTCCTGCCCGGACGCCCGTAGATCCTGACGAAGATTACGAGGACGTCTGTACGAGCGCGCAGCTGAGAAGGACCTGGACGAAATCTGCGAGGACGTGCATTGGGCGAGTAAGCCGCCGAGTTAGGCCTGGACGAGGACTACGAGGAAGTCTGGATGAGTCCGAAGTCAAGGAGAACCTGTGCGAGACCTTCGAGGACGTGTGGATGTCGAGGACGGACGGATGTACCAGGAACCAGAATGAAGATGACGACAAGGACGAGCAGCCACCAAGATGCAAAAGCCAAGTTGGGTCACCCTTGAGGCAAATCTAAGGTGTTTCGAGGGCGAGGCGTAAGTAGGTGGCCTAACAATATACCGTGTACATACGCGTGACTGCTTGCCTCCACGTGGCGTGCCCCACGCCGGTGGGCGAGGTGGCGTCCCCAGGCCGCGTCTCGCTATATAAATGGCCAAGTATGACACGGTCAGAAGCCTCCGGGCTAGTACAGTGGTAACGTGTCGGCCTCTCATCCGAGGGGTCGGCGGTTCGCGC